TAATTTAGCTTTGAGAGGTCCTCTGAAGTTGGAGAATCATAGAATTGTTAAGGGGTGTGAATGGGCCTTAAAGATCATCTAGTCCCAACAACACCCTCTGCCACGGCAGGGACACCTCCCACTAGACCAGGCTGTTCAAGGCCTTATCCAGCCTGGCTTTGAACACTGCCAGGGTTGGGGCAGCCACAACCTCCCTGGGCAACCTGTTCCAGTGTCCCAGCACGCTGACAGTGAAAAATGTCTTCCTAAGATCTAACCTAAATTTCCCCTCTGTCGCCAATAGAGCTCAAAAGCAAGCCCACTTTCTGCATTAGATGAGCTTCTCAGGGCCTTATTCCCTCCAGTCAGGAGCTGAACCTACATGTGAGGCTGTTCCATCCCAAGTGCAGGGCTTTGTATTTGCCTTTGTTGTAATTCCTTGGAATTCCTGTTGGTCCATTCCTCCCTCTAAGCAGCAGCTGAGCTCTTCAGAGTTACCTCTGTTCACATTATACCTCTGGATTCTATACTCCTTCTGTAAGTGCTCACTCTTACCTACTCTGGTGGGCAGAACATGGGCCTGTACGGATATTTAATTATCCAGTTTTTCCTTCATGTGTGCATATTCAGAACTCTGTACCTGAATGTGAGCACAAGAGCCGAGCTGGGACTCCTTGTTGCTCACACTGGAATGGAAAAGCCTCTAGAACCTGACAGCTGGTGACAGGTAAACAGCACCACAAACTCCCTCATCCTTACCTTTAACTGGATGAGCATTCCTTCACAGCACACCCTCCCAGAGCACCACAAGTTATATATGTGTTCATTTTCTTGATTTAGCTTCCCAGTGCTTGTAGCTTCTTTATTAGTGCCATCATCCCCTGAGGAAAACAGCAGTGAGAGAGAACCACAGCCTAAAGTCACAAACTGGAACACCAAAGTTCACCAGAAGGCTTAGAGCTCACACCACGTTACAGAAAAGGATTTGCTACAGCCTATGTGGTCGAAACCCAGCTTTATTCAGATACTAAAACTGGATCTTTGTCATTATGGAACTCACCAACAAGAGCAAAGTTACTTTCCAGCAGCTCCCTGTGAGTGTTGAACCAAGCGTGAGCCAGCCGGTTGTTTTTGTTCTTCCCGATGATGTAGTTCATGATGTAAGCCAGGAGACCTGTCACCATCAGGATCTCCATGTAGTAACTCTCCCAGCTGTTCTGAAGGTGAGCAGGGACCTGTGTAAGGCAACAGAAACTTTTACGTATTGAACAAGTGGATTTTATGTACACAAACCATTTTGGAAATGCAGAGTACTGGAGAAGCTCCATCCCCAACACAGCAGGAAGCTCCACAAAGGCAACAGGACAGAGCTAAGCCTACATAATGCACTTGGCTCTGCTGGGGCACAGTGAGCATACAGGAAACAACTGGGAACAGCATTCCCAAAATACTCGCTTAATACAAACAAAATACTTCTCATTTCCAATAGAGCTCAGAGTAAACAGCCCAGCATTTCAACTCGCTGAGCATTTGAGCTTGATGCCCTGCCCATCACAGCATTATCTGATCATCATGTAACTTCTATTGAAATCCTGATGTCCAGGAGCATTTTTAGGATGCCACCAAGAGCCACAGACTGTGTGGGGGAGCAGGGAAGCCTTCCTGACCTTGCCACCTGAGAGATTAATTAGCCATTCTGTTATCACTGTACCCCCCCTTCAGTCACAGAAGTATCCAAACCTTAATTTTCGCTAACATACTTAAAAAGAGATCTTAGGGGTAATAAAAACGCACCTGATCATTCTGTGAAACACTGTCCTGGGAGGCAACAAGGTGATTCAGCATGGACAGAGAGACTGGTTTCAAAACCCATCCATTTCTAAGGTGAAACTTTAGTCACAGACAAGCTAAAAACCACACTTTGTACATTGCAGGTGCACATTAGTACCCCAGTGACATTCCTGGCACACTGCCTTGAGAAAATAAGTGATGCAACTCCAACTAGAAAGCAGATCAGCAGTTATACCTACATTAACTATTGTTATGGGGTCTTTGTTTTTGCTATGAGATGCATCTGGTTTCTCTTCATAGCCTTCAAACTCCTCATCATCATATGGTTCACTCTCAGTATCACCTTCCTAAAGGACAAAAATCACAAACAGCATGAAAATCCAAAGCCCAGGAAGTAAAATCCAAAAAGATAAGGTGAGAGAGAAAGAGACACTATTAGGAAACACAGAAGATGAGGCCTTACCTGTGTGTCTGCATCATCAAAGTCTTCCTGATTCTCATCCTGACCTTCAAGCTCTACAGTGGCTTCTTCTTCATCGTCTTCTGTAGTGATGATCCTCTGAGGAGACTCTGTGACTGCATCTTCACTCACATCTTCAAATTCAGCAAAGTCATTATCATCATATTCCATAATGTCATCTCCATCCTCAAATTCATCATACTTTGCCAAAGCAAAGCTCCATGGGATGAACAGGAAAGCAATAAAAAGATATAAATTCTTCATTTTCACTGAAAAAAACAAAAAGGGGCTCTTTACAATGACAGATTTAATTATCAATTTTTTACATCACACCATTACAATCCCCAACTCCCATGAGCTATTTAAAAACACTACGAGGGTCAGACCAGAGAGAGAAGTAAACCCCTGCCTGATCTTGCCATTTTCTCTATAAAGTGACTACTGATACAAGAGAAAATAACTTTGAAGGTGAGATCGCTTGTGGCAGCAGCAAATTCACATCTGGCCATGCTGTTCAGATGAGCAAGTTTGGAAGCAGAAATGTTCCACTATAAAGCTCCCTCCACTAGCATCTCCCACCCAGCACTGCCAGCTCACTCCTGAGACCACACTCTGTGCCTACAGTTGTTATTAATTAGCAATTAGACACAGTCAGCTCAACCAATGTGGAACAGCAGCAGTAAATCCTAAAATGCACTTGATCAATTTTAGTGATGCTCCGATAGTCTCTTAGTTCCAAAGTGCCCATCTGTGATTTTCTAGGCTGCCTGCTCAGAATCAGGTCCCACAGTGTCCCAGCACAATTTCTGCTTAGAAACAAAGACCTTTTCTTGGGAGTTCAACCAAAAAAAAATAAAAGGCAGGAAGAGGATGGGTATTACACCAGGCCCTGAACCAACAGAGTAAACTGGGGCTCATGAGCCCAAAGCTCTCCCCAGATCAGCCACAAACCTGCAGAGAGTTTATCAGTTCACCTTTTTTCCCCCTCAGCTTCCCGTCTTTTCTGCTCGATCTCAAAACAGTCCCGGCCCAAGGAGGAGCTTCTCCAAGGACCAAAAACGGAGCCCCAAAAGGCTGCTCTAACCCTCCTGCTGCACTTCCCAACCAGCCCCGGAGGATCAGCTGCACCCGGAGGATCAGCTGCACCAGGCTCGGCGGGAGGCTCATTTTACTCCCTCCCGCAATCAGAGCCGAGTGGGAACCCGAATGTTAATGAGAGCGTGCTCTTACAAACTCAGAATAGAAACGATTTTGTTTCTAAATTTGACCAGCTCTCCTCTGAGTGCCTCACACAGGGAACCCACTGTGAGATAGGGATGACAAGGACGGCAAAAATAAACACCTCTGTCAAAGACTCCTCACTCCAGCAAAACCTGCACAGAACACGTTCACAGAATGTTAAAACAGGATGGAAAGCACAAGGCAGTACCATTGTGTGCATACCTCGTAATTTTATGTGAATTTAAGCAGAAAAAAAACCCCAAACCACTATTTAGATAGAACAGAATTTGCACCCAGAAGTTAAAAACCACCAGGACAACGGAGCCACCTGCTCGACCAAACCCCAGCAGTTTCACAGTAGGAATTTCGAGACTATTTGAGCATATCCACTCTCAGAAGACCCGACAACTCCAAAGAGCTTCCTGGAAAATAAACCGTGGCCAATTCCAAGGGCACGTTTAAGCTGGAGGTGGGTGGAAGCTGGAGCACCCCCTCAGCTCAGCATTCGCTTAGAACAGGGTCCAAGTACAAACTCCAGGAAGCAGAATATGCCTTGGCAGGCTGTCCACGCTCCACACCCCACCGAGGGCCGGGTTCCCTCCCCGATCTCCACACAGGCTGCCCAGAACTCAGTGGCAAGAGAAACAACTTCACCGTAACCCGAAGGTAAATAAACAGCGCTGCTGCTGCTCCTCGTGCAGAACATTCACCCGCCTGGGACTTGCTCAATAAATCTCGAGTCTAGACCCGGCTCAGTAGATTCTGGACAGGGGCCGGGCCCCGGCAGGTCGGGCCCTCACCGTGACCCCCCGTCCGGTGCGGGGACGCCCCCGCAGGTGCTGCCCGTGATCCCGCCGCTCCCGGCACAGCTCCCGGCACAGCTCCCGGCACAGCTCCCGGCACAGCTCCCGGCACAGCTCCCGGCACAGCTCCCGGCTCCTTCCCGGGACACGAGTCAACGTTAAACGAGACAAAATCAGCGACCTGCCTCCCCGCGGCGGTGCCCCCCTGGCCTCCCCGCGGCGGTGCCCGCACCCCCGGCGCCGCGGTGCCCGCACAGGCCGTGCCCTCCGCGCCAGGCTGCGCCTGCCGGGAGCACCGCCGGCACCGGGCACCCGGGAAAGGGGCGAGCGCCGCCCGGCCGGCCCGGGGAAGCGGGAGCGTGGTGTACCATCCCCGCAGGGCCCGAGCCCGAGCCCAAACCCGAGCGCCCACCCGGTCCGGCCCCGGCGCCGCGTTACCTGAGTCACGGGCCCGTCCCCCGCCCGCCGCTCCGTGCTCGCCGGCCCGCGGCGCATGCGCGGCGCGGCCCCCGCCGCATGTGCGGGGCTGCGCGGGCACACCCGCGTGGGCGCGGGGCGGGCGAGCAAGCCCCAGCCCTGCGGGCGGCAGAACCACCCGGGAGGCACCGGGGGAGCGGCGCGGTCAGGGGGCCGCCGGCGCCGTTCCCCCCGTTTTCTCCCCGTTTTTCCCGCTCCCGCCTTTGCCCGGTCCCGCCGCCCACACTTCGGCGCGGCTTCACCCGCGGGCAGCGCGCATGCGCCGCGCGCGTCGCTCGCGTGCCGTGCGTGGGCACGTCAGTGCGGCGCGTCTCCACCCCCCGCCCCGGTAACCGGGGCAGTGGCGGCGGCGGCGGCTGCGGGGCCGGCGGTGAGTGAGGGGGCTCCGAGGGGGCACCGAGGGCAGCGGGGCCGCAGAGCCGCCCCGTCGGGTCCCCCCGCGCGCCGGAGCCGCCGGGGTTGCGGCCTGGCGACGGGCGCGGGCGGCTCGGGCCTGCCCCGCACAAAGGGCCCGCCCCGCGCCGCGGCCCCGCGGGCGGGAAGGGCCCCGCGCAGGGCCCCGGGCGGCCGGGACAGCGCCCGCCCGCGACTGCCGGCCCTGCCGTGCTCAGGGGAGCGGGCTCCCGCCGCCCTTCGGCCGCGGCGCGGCCCTGGGGAGGGGTCCGGGCAAGGGTCCGTGCCTCGGGAGCTCCTTCCCGCGGGACGGCGGTCGCGGGGAAGCGAAGCCTCGGGAGGTTGCCCGTGATCCCTGTACTCGCTCGCCGCTGGCGCCGCGGGCAGACTGAGCACGTCTTGTGCTTTCGTGGCTGTACGGGAAATAAAAAAGTGGTTCTCCTTATTTTCTGCGGTAGTGGGAGGGGAAAAAGAAAGTGGATAAGTACAGGTGGATAAGTACAGTGAGGAAGGATCCTTGCAGTCAGGTTTTAACTCAACGGTTTTAACATAAAAGGTTCCCCTGTCAGCAGCAGAAGTGCAGCTCCACCTCTCACCCCTCTGTGGCACATTTTGAGCTCTCAGCTGCCGCAGACCCGCAGGTGTGAAGGCCACAAGGTGTGTCAGGGCTCCAGGGTCAGTCCCTGCCACGCAGAGCTGAATAGCAGAATTGTCCCTCAGATCTGCTCCTGAGCTCTGGTCTAGACTCGAGGTTTATTGAGCAAGTCCCAGGCTGGTAAATGTTCAGTACAGGGAGCAGCAGCACTATTTACCTTTGGATTATTGTGAAGTTGTTCCTCTTGCCCACAAGTTCTGATCTCATCAAGGATTCTCAGTGTGAGGATTTGTTTAATGAGACTTGTAGCCTTTGGACAGCTGATTATAATGCACTGGAAAGCAGTGGGTGTCTTGCTGTTTAGTGCCTTACAGGTATGATTTACTTGACCATGCAGATAATTAAATTATTCAGAATGGAAACTCTAAATCTTAATATATCAGTTCAGTCTTCATCTTAGAAAATCAAGGTCTGGGTGGACGTGGTAGGTGTAGTATTTAAAATATGGTTTGAAAAATGTAGGTTGGAGACCTTATATATTATCTAGAATATATATACACACATATATATACACATATGTATGTGGCTGAAGATGCTTTCTTAAGAGGAAGGAGTTGACTTTTTGGCAGAGGTGTGTCTGGTCTCACGAAGAAGCTGTTTGCTGCTCTGGGCCCACTTTTCTAGAGGTTGCAGGAGTGCTATTTACACTCAAGGATGGGACTGTGGACATGCAAAATATGCACCAAGCTGACTTTTCATCTCTTGTTCCTCCTGATGTTCAAAGTTCTGGCCCTGAGGTTGTTTGTCTTGGACTGCAAACAGATAGGATAGGTAACATCTTAAATATGCTTAAGTAAGCCTTGAGGGACATGACCTTTTTTGGAAAATAAGCACTTGGGGGTTTTTTGTCTCTGGAACTGTGGATGTGTTCCCACTGACAAGAAAAGTACAGAACCAAGTCCTCTGTGGGAAGCAGATCAAACTTGTCACTCACATTTCCATAGCTGGTGTGATCCACTAACAAGAAAAAATCGTGACAATTATCTCTAACCTCCTAAAGCAGAAAGGGCATTAATTTGTCTTTTCTCATTTTAACAGGTACATTGAGGACATCATGAATTGGAATAAAGGTGGACCTGGTACTAAGAGAGGCTTTGGGTTTGGTGGATTTGCCATAACACCTGGGAAGAAGGAGGAGCCCAAGCTGTCCCAGCAGTCCCACAGCGCTTTCGGAACAGCCGGTTCCTCGGCAGCCTTTGCAAAATCAGGGCCTCCTCAGCTGCCTTCCTTCTACAAAATTGGGTCAAAGAGAGCGAATTTTGATGAAGAGAATGCGTGAGTACAGTCATGCCTTGTGTTTATCAAGCTGTACATTTTACTGTTTTAAAGTTTCCAAGGACAAGGGAGGTATCCGTGACATTTATATACATACATATATATATAAATATACATTAATATATTTAAAGGACTGTGAGATACTCCAGCAGCCCACAGAGAGCTCTCCTCCTCCAGCCTTCCCCTCTCTAGAACAGATCCCAACTGAGCCCCAGTCAGCTCAAGCTTATTCACTCCATGGTATGTTCAGAGTTGGAGCCAAGCAGGAGAAATTTGGGTGTCTTTTGCACAGGGAAACGAATATTCAGCTCCACAGTTCTTTACTAGCCCTTCTGTTGGCTGCATAAATGGATAAATTAAGGCTGAGAGAATTGAGATTGTTCAACCTGGAGAAGAGAAGCTTTGGGGTGACCTGATTGTGGCCTCCCAGTGCCTGAAAGGAGCCTGCAAGAAACATGGAGAGAGACTATTGACAAGGGCCTGGGGTGACAGGGCATGGGGGAATGGCTTCAAACTGAGGTTTGGATGGGATATTGGGAAGGAATTCTCCCCTGGGAGGGTGGGGAGGCCCTGGCACAGGTTGCCCAGAGAAGCTGTGGCTGCCCCTGGATCCCTGGAAGTGTCCAAGGCCAGGTTGGATGGGGCTTGGAGCAACCTGGGCCAGTGGAAGGTGTCCCTGCCCATGGCAGGGGGTGGGATGAGATGGACTTTCAGGTCTCTTCCAACCCAAACCATTTCATGAAATCTGTCACATGGAAGGGGGGATGGGTCAGAAAAGCATCCCATGTCCACCAGCCCGGGAGAGTCACTCAAGAAGATCAGTTTTGTGATATCTGTTTGTCCTGCAACCACTTTGACCTTATGACATGAATAACTGTAGGTAAATTAATAAATCTCAACTGTCCATCCTGACTTTTATTACCCGTGTGGGAACCCTGACTCATTCAGAAGCCATGAAAGACAGCACAGTGCTGTAAACTATGTGCTGACTGGGCTGTTGGTCGTTTCTTTTCAGGTACTTTGAGGATGAGGAGGAAGATTCCAGCAATGTGGAATTGCCCTACATTCCCGCCGAGAATTCCCCCACTCGGCAGCAGTTTCATTCCAAGTCAGCAGACTCTGACAGCGATGATGATCCTCTGGAAGCATTCATGGCTGAAGTGGAGGCAAGACCCGGCTCGGGAAATGTTTATTCATTGGTGTGGCCACAGTCAGGAGCAGCAAATGCCACTCAGGGCTTTGGCAGCTGCAGTCAAAATGTCATTTAACTTTGTTTTTTGTGTGTTAGGACTCAAAGGTGGGTTAGGTAGGGAGAGGGTGGATCTGATTTACAATAACTTAACTGCTTTGAGCACATCAAAACAATACAACACAGAGCTGTGCCTGTCTCTGGATATCAGACTGAGGTTTTCTGCATTTTTCACTGCCAGAATGTTAATTATTTGTGTTTATCATGGGCTGTTTCTTAGCTACAGTTCTGTTATGAGCGCAGTGTTTTCAGGAGGAATATGGGTGATTTATTTTTTCAACAACACTGCCACAAACTTAAGAGTATATAACTTCAAAGGTATTAGTAGGAGAATTTATTTAGGATAATCAGATATGGAACACGAGCAAGTTTAGCCCAAAAAGTGTCATCTCTGTGACATAATGGTCTAGTTATGCAGGAACATTTTCCCCTTCCACGTTTTATCATCTTGGTCTTTTTAACATATGATAATTTTATGACCTGTTAGGATCAAGCTGCTCGAGACATGAAGAGACTCGAAGATAAAGACAAAGAAAAAAAGAACGTTAAGTAAGTTCTCTTTTGTCATTCCCATCCCTGCTTGTCTTGTGTGGTGCTGAGACAATTCCAATGCATTTTTGTTGATGATGGTTGTTCTGTAGACAGAATGATATATACCTAGTGAACAGCATTAAACAGTGCATGATATTCCCTGTGGGTAAAGATTCTGTGCTGTAAAAATGGGATAATAGGAGGGAAGAATCCATGGCAGCATCCTGTGGTAAACTGCAACAACACTGAGAGTTATCCCACGCGAGGAGCCTTTCTAGGCCACAGAAATTGGGGCAGCACATTGTACTCCTGCCACCTTCCAGAGCAGCCTGGATAGTTTTTCTTCTTCCCACACCCTTGGAAAGATCAGGATGGTTTAGTTTAAAATTGCAGTTATATGAGCAAAATAACTCAGTGCTGCTGTCCCTGAGTCCTGGAGATTCTTCCAAACTTCAACTAGGTTTTAAGACATTAAAGCTGGTATATCAGGTAGCATGTGATAATTGGGATACTAAATTTGGAGTTCAAAAGCAGTTTAAATTTTTGCAGCTGTTTTGAGCAAGGGAAATAGTTCTGCTGTTGATTCTTGATAGAAATGTCAGATACATTGGTTAGAACTTGCATTGCATGGGGTTGATCAGATTATACGTGGTCCTGAAACAGAACACCGGATCCAAATCACCACCTGGGGAAGTTCTGAACTGGATTTGCTCTTCCTGGCTCATATTCCTCTTCAGTTATGAGACTTCTGTAGCATCAAGAGCTTTAGACCAGGATGATCTTTGATGTGGCTTCTACTGGGAAGACGGAGTCCTAACCTTTCAGTCTCATTACTAGAAGTAAAGAGAAGTCTTGCAGGGTCGCTGTTATGGTTGGCACCAGATGTGAAAACTCCATGGGTTGGGATTATAAATGTTACCGAGTTGTTAGTGTTGTGTCTTCCACGAAATCTGGAGCTCAGCACTAATCAAATGAAACTGTGGAGCTGAGTCTGTGGAACACTTGCAGGGAAGTTTTTTTTCTCCGCTTGTTTTTCCAGGGGTATTCGAGATGACATTGAAGAGGAAGATGACCAAGTGAGTTCCTATGCAGTCTTTCTATCTTCTTTTTTTGTTGTTTTGTTTTCTTTTACCTTCCCTCTCCAAACACATAACTGCAAGGTACAAACAAAACTCCAGTATCATGCACAGTACCCGGACAGTTCAGCAGGAAGCTCTAGGGGTCACCCTGCTGCCTCTACCCTTCTAGGTGTTTCAAGAAGAATATTAGGAGACAATTGCATTCATTTAAGAAGATTTTTTTTCAGTCAGTTTGAACTTCAACTTCCTGTACAGGTTTTTCAGTATCTGAGGGTCTCATCAAATTTGAAATGAGCACAGTCACCATGGGACACAGGGAGAGGCTGTTAGAGTGTGGAGGTGACTTGCAGTGGAATTTAGTGTCTGTTAAGGGCAAGAATCAGGCTTTTTGCTCTTCATTTTCAGAGGAACTCCAGTTCTCACTGGGGATTATAAGCATCGCTGTAACAGAATTAGTAAAGAGGAAAGACTTCATTTCAAAACATACCTTACCACTAAGTTGTAATTCATAACTCTTGTGTTACTGGCATTAATGCAGAGTTTGGCGGGGTTGTCTGGCCTCAAGGCCTTTGCTTCCAAGTGTAGCTGTGCCAAAGTTTGAGCAGAGGTGACTTACACTTGGAGACAGCTGTTGTTCCAGTCTATTGAGTGAATAGCTGAGAGACTGAGGGATAATCGACCAGGAAAGGGGAAAAGCCAGAGGAGTAAATGCATATATTTTTAGTTGAACCTTGCTTTAAAAGTCTGATCTTAAACGTTTGCTTCAAGTCAAGTGAGACTGGTGTTTTCTCCCTGAGAAAGTCTTGGTGTGCCAGTGGGATTCTGAGGGACACAGACATCTTTGTGAGCTGTGAGGGTGGCATGTGACAGTGGTGACAGGGACTTAACTTGGGCTTGTCTTGAAAGACTCTTCTGAAATAGTTTCTTTCACATTTGTTGTTGACTGTCTCAATGAAAATTAGATACGTTTTCATTTCTTAGAGTCTAGTCAGGGGAAGAGACTGTTTGGCATAGTGTGTTTAAAAAAACAAGCGTCATATACTTAGTAACATCGTGTCCTCTGGTTAGAAACCTGCAGCATTTGTGCTTTGTTCCTGTGGAAATAAGAATAGATTCCCTTCTATTGCTGAACATAACAAGACTTGGTGGAAGGAGTTGTTAAGCAGACATGTAAGAGTAGCTTGTTTTTAAGAAGCACTTTGTGGTCTAGCTGACACTTAGAGTTGTTTTCATTTGTGCTTACTGTCCTTCTGGACGGATCTCTTGGTGCTTATTGCAAGAATCAGTTCTAGTGAATGTGGCTGGTTTTTTTCCTCAGTGGTGGGTATGAAAGCAAGCAGCCATTTAGCATTTACACTTGAACAAACAGTGGTAATTTTGCATCCTATTGTATGTGATGGTGCTGATCTGTTTTGCTGCAGGAAGCGTATTTTCGCTACATGGCTGAAAACCCCACTGCTGGTGTGGTCCAGGAGGAGGAAGAGGATAACCTGGAGTATGATAGTGATGGGAACCCGATTGCACCCTCCAAAAAAATCATTGATCCTCTTCCACCTATTGACCACTCAGAGGTAGGAAGGGATTTTATTCCTTTTTGTTCTGTTTGAGGCTTTCCAGAAAGCAGGAGCTGAGGAGGTCCCATAATGTTTCAGTGCTGTCGTAGGTAAGTCACATTAAAGGTCCTTGAAGTAGCTTCATATTAAAGGAATGTACTTGCAGACAGTTAAGAACCTCAGAAAGAAAGGAATCTTGAATCTGGACTAACTTAGTAATAAACTACCTTGCAGATTGAATATCCACCCTTTGAGAAGAATTTCTATGATGAGCACGAGGAGATCACCAGCCTGACCCCGCAGCAGGTGGTGGAGTTACGGCACAAGCTGAACCTCCGGGTAAGCTGGACACAAAACTGTCCTGTCACCATCTTTTCCCTCCCATTCCTTTTAGATAATCTTAGTTTTAATGGAGATTTTCACAAGGAACTCCAGTTTTTGAATCCAAGCCTCTCAGACACCTGCAGTGACTTTTGATTTCGTGAAAGTCTCCTCTGGGGTTGTGGAAGTGGGCAGTGAGTGTTGCCAGGATTGCATGGTTGCACTTGGAATAAAGAACTCCAGAGCTGGGAATTAAAACTGGAAAAGTTAGATGCAAAAATTAGTTCTTTTGCCATTTGTGCCATGTTACTGGGGTGACTTTCTATGAAGGGAATTATAAGAACACCAATTTTACAGGGAGGTAATTGTGACATTTAGTAGCTCGTCTTGATTGACACTTAATCTAAATTTTCACACCTGCAAGTCCTAGTTACACAACTCCTCTGGAATTTGCATTTGTTCATAAAGTAAAAATCCATTTTCAGAAGCAGTGATACCCTGTTTTTATTTTTTGTACAGATTGCTCTTTGTTTTTCTCTTACTGTTCCACAAACAAAGCTCTTTTTGTGTTTCCAAGGTCTCTGGTGCTGCTCCTCCAAGGCCTGGCAGTAGTTTTGCTCATTTTGGATTTGATGAGCAACTTATGCATCAAATTAGGAAATCAGAGTATACCCAACCCACTCCAATACAATGTCAGGTGAGTGTTGCTGCTGCTCTAACATCTAAAGAAAACTAATCAAACACATGCCAAGGCCTCTTGTCCATATGAGGATGTGATAGCTACAGTTCTGATTGTCTGTTGAGAGTTGTCACAGAGAATTTGTGTTTTTCCAGGAAAATAGCTTTGATGTTTTTTAAATAGAGGTTTACCCACTTTTGTTCTTGGTAAGTGACCACTGTAAATATATCCATATCCTTTTCTTCATTTGTTTTTTGATGAAGACTGAAGAGCATTCAAGTGACATCTCTTCCATATAGAAATGTGTGAAAGCCTTGGGGGGGTTGTGTTTTGGGGGTTTTTTTTAGAAATTGTATTAAAAATAGCAGTAGCTGAATAAAGAGCCATCCACTGACAAATTTATTCCTTCAAGAGCCATGCAAACAAAAGGGAATTACTGCATCTGTAGATTGGTTGCCATAAGTAATTAAGGTTATCAATAATGTGATTTTAACCACACCACTGCTGATGCTTTTCTTGAGGTACAAAGAAGGATGTGATGCTGTGTCCAAGTGATGCATTTTAGTCCTTAGTATTTGTAAAACCCTGTGGTTGAGAGGTCCTTGTAGCAGCAGTGGGGATGAACTGAGGCCTTCAGGCCTTCAGCACTCAGAGTGGCTACAGAAAGAACAGGCTCAGAGAACTTTTAGTGTTCTTAGAACTGCACAGGGTTCATTTGTGCACATGTAACTGTATCCTTGGGCTGCTGTACTGTGCCCAAACATTGATTTCATACAGGATACCATCAATCCAACATGGTAATGGCTTCCAGCCCTAAAAACAGACTAATTCAGATCTGAACTTGGCAATAAAACTCTGTAAGCATTGACATATTGTTGCTGTGAGTCCTCTGTAATGTGCTTTCCTCTTGTTACCTGAGTTCTCATGTAAAGTCTAGCACAAGGATATGCTGAGGTAGGCATAATATGGGCTTAGAATCTCCTTCTTTTTAGGGTGTTCCAGTTGCACTGAGTGGCAGAGACATGATTGGGATAGCTAAGACTGGAAGTGGGAAAACAGCAGCCTTCATCTGGCCGATGCTGATTCACATCATGGATCAGAAGGAGCTGGAGCCAGGGGATGGTCCCATTGCAGTGATTGTCTGCCCCACCAGAGAGCTTTGCCAGCAGGTAGGTGTGTGGCATTCCTGTGTGTGCCTTCCAGAGTTCTTGGAGAAGAAGACAAAACTCTGGGCAAAAATTATCAGAGAACCTCAGCAAAGTGTTTAAAGAAAACTGCTCTGAGCATGAGTAGCGTGGCTCCAGCTCACAGCTCTTCCCTGCACCTTTTTCTTGAGGGATCAGGACAAATCTGAAATGTTAAATTTTTGCACAGTGCTCCCATGTTGTTTTCAAGTATAAGAATGCTGTGGATCCATTGCTACAAACTGTATGTGTAAAAAGATAGAGCCTGCAGGCTGAATTACAGTTGGTTTCTGAAATTACTAAAACTTATCCACGTGTTCAAGTATTCAGCCCTGAGGATTTCAGAATAATTTCGTGAAGTTATTAGCTGAAAGGTGTATTTCAGGAGCTGGGCTGTATTTCCAAGGCAGATGTGTTTTCTCAGAGCTGTCTGACGTGGCCTGTGATGTGTCTGTTCCCAATTCCCAGATCCACTCGGAGTGCAAGCGCTTTGGGAAGGCCTACAACCTGCGCTCCGTGGCTGTGTACGGAGGAGGGAGCATGTGGGAACAGGCCAAAGCCCTTCAGGAGGGGGCAGAGATCGTGGTCTGCACCCCTGTAAGTACCTGTGTGCACACAGGGCAGCTTTTTGTTGCTTACCTGAAGCTGAGACAGGTCTTTAATTCCAGAGTGATTCAAAATTAGTTGTCTGGTCACTGAGACCCGAGTTCTTCACAGGCTGTCAGGTGTTGAGAGCAAATCTGTCGAGTTTAATCTTCTCCCAAGAGAAACTGAGGAGGTTACAGAGCAGCAAGCGAGATCTGTTTGTGTCAGCTGGGCACAACACCAGCTTCTGATTGCTGAGCCTTAAATTCACAAAGAGAATTCCCAAAATGTCATGATCTTGAGTGTCATCTTCCTGAATCCGTGTGGAGCCAGTGGCAGTAACACTGCGGGGTTGAAACATTGAATCAGGATGGGTGTTGGTGCTGAACAAGCACCACTGACAACTGGTTTTGCTTATTGCAGAAACTTGTTGTGAACTTGGACAAAACGGGGCAACAAATGGTTGGAGAAAGTTTTATTGTGGCTATTTATTTGGTACCAGGCAAGAAAAGAAAGTATGAGAAACTCCCTTGCCAAAAATTGGGGGATTAAGCAGGCAGTTCACATTTAAAATTTAATTATAAGGAAGAATGGAAAATTGTTAAACTGTTAACCTTGAAAAAACAGCTATAAGTTCAGATTGTCGGGCATAGTTGATGAGAGTTTTAGGAATCTTTCTATGATTTGAATATTGACATTTCTAGACTGAAGCCTTGAGATATTTTCTGTTCAAAGTCTCTGGTAAGTGAGGATAAAAAGCAGTGAAGTGCTCAAAGGTTGTATATATCAAGCTTGTTTAAAATACACTTTAAAATCTTGGTTTTTTTTTTTTCTTAATAGGGTCGTTTGATTGATCATGTGAAAAAGAAAGCTACAAACCTTCAAAGAGTCACTTACCTTGTGTTTGATGAAGCTGACAGAATGTTTGATATGGGGTTTGGTAGGTATTGAACAAAGGTCACTGTTTTTGGAAAGCAGGGGTGTTCAGTCCCAGCTTAGTGGGACTGTGAAATGAAATAATGAGTGAGAGGCACTCATTCATCCCGTGGTTGTCTGTTAAATAAAGCAGTGAAGTTGCATTTTGAGTTATTCTCCTAAATAATGAGCAACAGTGGTGATTAGAGCGTTATTTCTTCTCCTTTGCAGAATACCAGGTCAGATCAATCGCAAGCCACGTCCGTCCCGACAGACAGAGTGAGTAAAGGTCTCAAAGTAACCTCCTGGGAGTCACAGGAGGCTCTGTGGTGGGGCACCAGTTAGGAGTCTGGAGCAGAGCATGAATTCCCAGTTCTGGACACAACCACACAAGGAGACTTGTGCCAAAGTGCACTGGTGTGACTCTGAGCGTGGGCTGTGGGGAGGGAGCAGTTGTGGCTCGTGGGGATTTGGCTGCTCCTCACTCTAATCCCTCCACTGGCTGCACTCAGAGGAAAGCTGATGAGCTGAATTCGTGTCCATAATGCCTCGAAATTCAGTGTTCTGAGCTGCCATGAGAGAAAGTTCCCAGCAGTGCCACGTATTATCAGCGTTCCAGGTGCCAGGAAATGTGTTCCCACGCTTTGAGGCGTTCTGAGAGCGATTGATAATTTCCATTAGAACCTGGAAAACAGAACTCAGCCTCCAGATTCCTCAGGAATAATCCAGGCCCTCGTTCACAACATCTGTGCTGTGTTTTCACAGTTCTGAAAGCAAGTTTCCATTTCAAACCCTGTTTCTCTTCCAGCTCTCCTGTTCAGTGCCACGTTCCGTAAGAAGATCGAGAAACTGGCCCGGGATATTCTGATCGACCCAATCCGGGTCGTGCAGGGAGACATTGGAGAGGTAATCCCATGGTGCCTGTGAGACAGTCAGAGCAATGAATTGTTCCGTTTCTGGTCTCTGAAACTGAAGTTAAACTGCAGCAGTCATCGTTTATATTTAAGAGTAAATACTTCGTGCTTAACAAAAAATAGTAAAGTTTTGTGTGTTGGTTTTTTTTTTATTTTATTGACCTTTCTTCCAGCAAATGTAGTGGTGGAAGGTTTCATCAAGGAGGGAAACACCACTAATGAAGTGATTTATTTTTTAACTTTTTTGTATTAGGCTGAATCATGGGTATATCCTTTTATTTTGTCACAAAAATATAAATAAACCCATTAGAGCTCTATTTATTTTCTCTTATTTAATTTGCAATGATTTTTATATTTTTATTTATGTTGCAATGAAGGATTTGAAGCTTAAGTTGTAATGTCTTTCAGCTGGGTTATGTGGGAATGTTGATGCTGGACTTGCTTGACAGTAGCAGCTGAACTATCAGCAGGCTGAGGATTTGGTGGGAAGCTGATGAAGTGGGCAGAGGGAAACTTGCTGTAGGGAAACTTTGCTTATTATATATGAAAGCTGTTGAGAAATTTCACAGGATGCCTTCAGAACACTTCTTTTTTCAGCAATTCTCTGTGTTTATTTTTTCCATCAGGAATATGATGTTACTTTATAACAAAAAAATAATGGCTACCTGAAGCCCCTTCATTCTGGGAATTTTTCCTACTAAATTTTGCTTATGAAAAGAAACAGCTTTCCCAGCTCAATCACAGGGTTTTTATTCTTTGATCTGAATTATTACTGTATTATGAGAGCATCATCCTTGAATTAAATAATATTGAACCGTGTAAAAATTAAATCTTTCAGGGAAACTCCCCGGTGGTGCTGGGAGCTGGACTGCACGTTTATTACTTTTGATTCAGGGTGCACAGAGAGCTTGTACCTCCCCTCTTCCTGACTCCAGGGACATTTCTCCCCTCAGGCAAACGAAGATGTCACTCAGATTGTGGAGATCTTCCCCTCTGGCCCCAGCAAGTGGAACTGGCTGACCCGGCGCCTCGTGGAGTTCACGTCCTCCGGGAGCGTCCTCCTGTTTGTCACCAAGAAGGCCAACGCAGAAGAACTGGCCAATAACCTCAAGCAGGAGGATCATAACCTGGGGCTGCTCCATGGGGACATGGACCAGAGTGAGAGGAATAAAGTCATTTCAGAATTCAAGAAGAAGGGGATCCCCATCCTGGTGGCGACCGACGTGGCAGGTGCGTGACGTTCTGGGAGCCAGCCCGTGCACACCGTGGGGATCAGCAGAAAGGCAAACTTGTTTCAGTGGAAGGCAGCCAGGTTGGCTTCTGCATTTTCAGAGCACTGTGTTCCAGGTGCTTTTCAGAACCATAGAACTCTCTTGAGTTGGGAGGGACCCACGAGGATCATCAAGTCCAGCTCTGGCCCTGCACAGGACACACCACAAGCCTGTGAATGACAGCATTAGCAAGGGGGGTTATTTTTAGTCTCCTAATGATGCTTGCATTAGGCTGATGTATTGTTTAATATACAGAAGGAAAATAAGCTGTGTCTTAAGGATGTTGTTGCTATTCATTCATCAGCTGACATTATACATGTTTAAATGAAGAGGTGAACACACTTGAAACCTGCACTAGAACAGCTTTTGTACACAGATGTCTGCTGAACAAAGAGTGAACTTTGGTGTCCTCTGATAAAGCCCTCTGTCTTCCTTGGAAATACAGCCATATGAAGAGATCCCTTCCATTTCCAGTCCTGTGAATTTGGGGATTGGTGTAACTTATATGAAAGTTAGACAAGGTGTTGCTGCACTGAAGAGTTTTAGAACCATAGAATGGTTTGGGTTGGAAGGAACCTTAAAGGTCATCTCATTCTACCCCCTGCCATGGGCAGGGACACCTTCCACTAGCCCAGGTTGCTCCAAGCCCCATCCAGCCTGACCTTGAAGCCCAGGAAAGGTGTATTAACCGAGATGGGTTCCTGTGGAAACTCCTTTGGTGTGCTGGAGCAGAATGAGGTGACAGGCTGGTATGAGTGGGATTGCTGTGAGTTAACTGGGGATAACCACACTTCCCCTTATGTTGCCCTTTATTCCAGCTCGGGGGTTAGACATCCCTTCCATCAAGACTGTCATCAACTACGACGTGGCTCGGGACATAGACACCCACACCCACAGGATCGGCCGCACCGGCCGCGCGGGCGAGAAGGGGGTTGCCTACACTCTGCTGACTCCCAAGGACAGCAACTTCGCTGGGGACCTCGTCAGAAACCTGGAAGGTGCCAATCAACATGTCTCCAAAGAGCTGTTGGATCTGGCAATGCAGGTATGGATGAGTAGAGGAAGGTTCATTCCACGACCAGCACAAAACCAGGGCCGGGGGACTCGTTTCTGGCTCCATCGTGTGTTAGCAGTGTCCTGTTTTAAAGTAGGCTTCCCAGTGTTTTTAATGGCCTTTGGCAGGATCCATGGGTATTCTGGAACACAGTGTGTGATCTATTTTGGGGCCAGGCACTGCCCAGGAAATTAGGAGCTGTAATCTGGCTGATGCCAGTGTCTCATTACAATCAGATTTTCGATGCACTTTTATGGCAGGCACCTGGGAGGTGCAGCTGAGTTGAAAGCTAAACTAGAAAACAATTACAGGGACATTCCCTCTTGTTGCTTGATCACTCCATGTGCTTGGCAGTGCTCTCTGGCAGATTTGCTATATATAGGGATGACAGGTAGCTGCAGCAGTTGTGCTTGTGCCACTGAACTCATCAGCTCTTTCATTTTTTGTCTTTTGCTGCCTGTGTAACTGCAAGAGAGGGAAGGCTTTTTGGTCATTCCCAAATTCAGAGATGGATTAGCATGCCTGTGGCTTCATTGCCAAGCATCTTGAACAGCAGCTGCCAGAATAAATACTTTTTCTGAGGTACAGAAACAGCAGAAGGGACAGAATTTATGGGGCAGAGCTCCTCAGGCTGCCTTTGAAAGGAGAGTGTCAAAGCAGAATGGTTTGGCCAACTGGCTTCTTCAGATTTGGAGACTGGAGGGCACAAAAAGAGGTGCAGCCAACCATTATTTAAACACCTGGGAACAGGAGGTCTGGTTGGGGTGACATTTCCTGGCCACTGCTTGGTGCAGGAAGTTTTGCTGACAGACCCTCATTTCTCTTCCAGTGAGCAGTGGGCTAAACCAGTGAAACCAAAGCATGAGCAAGTGCAGAGCTCCCAAGTGATGGCACTGGAAATTGTATTGATTCCTGGGTTTATTAGAATGCAAACCCCCACAACTTAAACATGGATGGAAGTTGAGGGCATAAAATCAGTTTTCATAGAAAGCATTTGTAGCAAAAATCTTCAGACCCACGTGACAGAAGTGGCTACAGCAGCTGTGTGGTTGAACAGAAAAACAGCACTTACGTTTTTTATTTTCAAATGCTCCAAATCCTTCTTTTCTGAGCCTCATTACATGCATTTATGAAGCTCCTTATTCCCCGTGAGGAGAAACATTTGTCCTTTTTGTTACAGAATCCGTGGTTCCGGAAATCCCGTTTCAAGGGAGGGAAAGGCAAGAAGCTGAATATTGGTGGTGGTGGCTTGGGGTACCGGGAACGCCCCGGGCTGGGCTCAGAAAATTCTGTAAGTAGAGATGCTGAAGAGGTTGTTTACAGGTTCTTGGAACTTTTACACTTAGTATTGATTGCTCTTTAATTTAAACAATCTCAGTACTGGATTACAGCCTGTGCTTTCAAGGGTTTCATAGCTCAGCATCTTTCAGAGTTGGTATCAGAGATCTCAAATGAAACTCTCCTGTGCTGTTCTCCTCTTGCCAAGAGCTGCCCTCCTTGGGGCCAGAGTGATCCAGAAGGTTTGCAGGTTCTTCCCAAAATAGACTGTCGCTGCAAAATAAATGCTAATAAATGACTTGAAAAGCCATTTCCAGGCTGATTCTTGGCAGAAAAAAATCTTGCAGCACTGGGGATGCTTATTGAGGCACATCTGTGCTAGGAAATGAGCTCACTGCCAGTGTGTACAGGGGCAGAGCTGTTGAAAACATGTCATAGAATCCCAGAATGGCTTGGGTGGGAAGGGACCTTAAAGCTCGTCCAGTGCCACCCCCTGCCATGGGCAGGGACACCTTCCACTAGCCCAGGTTCCTCCAAGCCCTGTCCAGCCTGGCCTTGGACACTTCCATGTCCAGCATCTTTCCAAAAGCCACAGCTGGAGCCTTGTTCACACTTTGCCCTGGCTGTGACCTGTGTGAAAAACTCCATTTGATTCCATTTTACTTTTAATTGCACTATAGGAGCTGGAAACTGCAGTTAAACTGTTACCTGTCACTCACTAAGACTTAATGCTTCTTTACTTCATGGTCCTCGAGGTCATGGCTCTGCTGCTCAGGACTCTCACAAGTCTGTCATCCTTAGGGGATGAATTTCCTGGGTGCAGGGTCAAGGTAGATTTGGAGAGTAGCTGAACTGAGAGTGTCTGTGTGGGATAAACCTCTGCAGTTGCCCTTTGTGTTTTTGCACAGGACCGTGGAAACAACAACAGTGTGATGAGTAACTACGAGGCCTACAAGCCATCCACGGGGGCCATGGGGGACAGGCTGACAGCAATGAAAGCAGCTTTCCAGGTTGGTTCCATCACTTGGACTCATTTTCTCCCCTGAAAATGCAGCAGCCCCGTTGATTTCAGGGAAGTTGAGCTTGGTAGTTGTGACCGTGTCGCTCGGAGCACTGCAGTGTGAGGTGGTGGAATTCGTGTGCAGGCTGGACTGAACGTGTTTGCACAAATTTGCCAAACTTGCTTTGTTTTCTGCTGCCTCTTTGCTCTTTTTCCCTCCTGGATTCTGCTCCTTGGCTTGATCCTGTTGAGGTTGCTTAGCAACAATAGTGTAATTGCAATCCAAAAAAAGGGGGAACAGAGAAACTCTTTCTCTTCAGTGTGAAAATTAACCCCACCATATAGGAGCTCCCTTGTTTCTGTGCTCTGGTAGCAGATGCCCGTTACTAATTCTGTGTTCATAAGCACAGCAGGAATGTAATCACGCCAAGATTTTTCCAGGAACTCTGTTTCCTGGGGGATCTCCCCGATCCAAGGCAGGCTCGTGAGCCCGCGATCGCTCCCCGTCCTGCAGGGCAGTGCAGAGCCAAACCTGCTCTCTGTTCTCTCCCTCCCCCTCTCCTGCAGTCCCAGTACAAGAGCCACTTTGTCGCCGCGAGCTTAAACAACCAAAAGACTGGGAGCTCTGCCGCCGGTGCCAGCGGCTGGACCAGCGCCGGGAGCCTCAACTCCGTCCCGACGAGTTCGGCGCAGCAAAACGCCGCCAACCCCGACGGCCCTGCCGCGGCGGCCAAGGGCGTCCCGGGCTTCACCAGCACAGGGACTCTGAGCAGCGTGCCCACCTTCCCGGGGGGAGCACAGGGCTTCAACAACACAAGTGCCAGCACCAACAGCCGAGAAGGCGGCGGCGGCGGCGTTGGTGGCATTGCCAGAGAACGGTACAACGACAACCGGAACAGTCGCCACAACGAGGTCCCGCGGCGCGGAGAGGGCGGTGGTGGCCGTGCCGAGGGCGGTGGTGGCCGTGCCGAGGGTGGTGGTGGCCGTGCTGAGGGCGGTGGTGGCCGCTACAACGATGTCCAGCGCCACGGCGAGGGCGGCGGCCGCCACAGCGACGCTCCCCGGCACGGCGAGGGCCGGCACGGCGACATCCATCGCCACGGCGAGGGCCGGCACTTCACCGACTTCCCGGGCGCCGGCGGCCGCAACAACAGCGGGGACAGCAGGAACAGCAGCGAGGGCAGGAGCAACGAGAGCAGGAACGGCGAGAGCAGGAAGGAGGCCAACAGCCGGGAAAACAAGACAGATGGTTTCGCCGTCCCGGAGCCCCCCAAACGTAAGAAGAGCCGGTGGGACAGTTAAAAGCCGGGGTTTCGCAGCCTGGAACCTCGGCAGGTAGCGTTGTCTTTTTCCAGAGGATTTCTTAGGGGTTTCTGGGAACTGGTTGTTGAGCAGCTGGGGGAGGAGAAGGAAACCACGAAGGCCCCCGTGCCAGTCCGGGCCGGTACATCTGCGGCCAGACCCGCTCGTGACGTGCACACACCACGCGTAGTCAGAGAAGTCACTTTGGTAAAGCTCCCTGGGCTCTGCTTTGAAACACTCAGTGCTCGAGTGACTGCTGGATTTAAACAGATCTTCTTGACAAAAGGAAGCTGTTCCACATCCTGGGAACATGGAGAAACTGTTGTCCATAGAAGTATAAATTAGTCTTTTCTTAACCAGCGTTCACATTTACAAACCAGTCCAGCCCACCTAGAGATGCTCAGGACCTGCCTGGTAGACATTAATCCCTCAGCAGTTTGGTCAGTATGGTGAGTTCTTCCCCCATCTCCTCTTCACATATTCTCTGATTCCCAAATAATTTGGCCTCCTGGTTGCCCTTTACCTCTCTCCCCATCAACTGAGAATGTATGAATTTACATTGCTGAAGGTGGGATGGAGCAAGTTGATTTTTTTTTTTCCCTTTGTTTTATTTTTTATGGAGCTGTTCAAGGGATCCTTCTCCAGCCCAGCAAACCACAAATTCACATGTAGTGTAGGTTGGACTCCCTGGCTTGTCTGTGGTCAGTACATCACTCCCAGTCCCATTGCCCAGGTATTTTTTTCCTTTCAAAGAACCTCTTCTTTCCTAATATCCTTCATTCTGGTGGAAGCCTGCATAGCAAACCTGTCTCTCTGCTGTGCCTATCCACCCTCTGTTCTGAGAGGGTTGAGTGCTTTCTTCAAATTAAAAGCAAAAAAAGGGAAAAGAGTGTAGATCCAGCACAACAATCAGAGGCTGGAGCCCCCCAGGAAGCGTTGCTAAAGGCAGAGGCTTCACTCAGAAATTCAGGGATCTGCTGCTCAGAAGCCTTTAGGGAGAACCCAAAAAAGCAGTGAATGAAATGGAACAGCTCAAATCTGGCCCCATATTGAACACATATAGGAAATCTGTAAAATCTTGCTTGCCCATTTTTAACTCGTGTGTATTATCCGTTTTTTAACTTGGTTGTTTGTTTTGTTTTGTTTTGTTTTTGCCACAAGGTAGGGAAGAACTTTTCTGTTGGAACGTGTCAGCACCCACTGCTGGCTCGTTTCCACTGGAAGAAGTATCAGAAGCTGTCAGGGTTTTGTGACATTGTGATGTTTTTCTTTATCAGCTGTGCATTTACTTTCTGCTTGCTCTAGTAAATGTTTTATTACTGGTACAGAAATATCCAGCATGTGCTTTTTTATTCTCCTCCTCCTCCTCTGGCTGCTCTGGCATGTGGATGGAGAACTGACTGCCTGGGGATTTGACTGTGTGTGTCTCTTCCACCAGGAGTTGTGGGTTGTAGTTGATAAAAGACTTCCTGTGGGTTTTCTCAGTATCTTTCCCCCCAAATTGTTTCACAAGCCCTGTTTTAGCTTCAAAGCCTCCCGGGGAATAGGTTGTTCTCCACTTTATAAAAGGAAGGGATACAGCCCAGGACATGTGACTCATCCCAGCTTTTCATGGGGTCCTTGGCAGACCTGGAAAGAGAACTCGGCAACAGCCTCATGATGTGACTTACATGGGAACTGACTTCAGTCAGGACACCAAGGGATTATTTGGGCCCCCTCACTAACAGCTCTGTCAGTTGGAGTTTTATAAAACAGCTTCCAGAATTCCCTCATCACAGTCCAGGCAGGAGCCTCGTTGCCCTGGTCTGAGCTCTGCACATTTGGTGTTAAGACAAGTGTGTTCCAGGGCAGCTGTGGCAGGGGTTTGCAAGCTGTTGTGTTCCCCTCCTCACCCTGAAGGTTTATCACTCTGCACAATTAAAGATCAGAGTTTCAAAACAAAATACAAAAATAGCTCCATGGTCTGAAGCTGCCATCTGCTCCCTCCCTTCCCAGATCCCAGCTCCCTGCCACTGGGAGCTGGCCCCCTGTGAGGCATATGCTTGGGTTTCTCCCCTTCTTTTTAACACTTCCCTCTGCTCTTTGTAGGATTATTGAAATTCCTCACCCCTCTCTCAGCTACCAGGAGCCTCCTGGGAGCTGAGTGAGTAAATATTGAGCAGTGACAGAGAGCTACCAATGTCAGCTCTCAGGGCTGTGTCAGGTCCACAGGAGGGTTGATTCCATCCCCACAGAACAAGGGAGCAGTGTGAGCAGCATTCCAGCTGCCCTGAGAGGAAATCTTGCAGTGGCAGCAGTGCTGGTGTCTTCCAGAGAGACCAGAGCACAGCCCAGCTGAGCAAATCCCTTCCAGGGAGCTCAGGTTGGCTTGGAAATGCAATCCTTGGGACTCTGCTCCTCTTTCTATGCCTACACATCAGTCCCCCCTCTGCCTGTTTTCCCCCTGCTGCCACCTCCCAGCTGTGCCCTTCCCACAGGGAACAGCACTTGGCTCCTTGGTTGGGAGGTGGTGCCAGTGTCCCTCACCCTGCACTGTCTTCTGGAGCCTTTAAACTGACAGAGTAGATTTAGATGGGATATTGGGAAGGAATTCCTCCCTGTGAGGGTGGGGAGGCCCTGGCACAGGTTGCCCAGAGAAGCTGTGGCTGCCCCTGGATCCCTGGAAGTGTCCAAGGCCAGGTTGGATGGGGTTTGGAGCAACCTGGGCTGGTGGGAGGTGTCCCTGCCCGTGGCAGGGGGTGGAACTGGAGGATCTTTAGGGTCCCGTCCAACCCAAACAATTCTGGGATTCTGTGATTTGGGTTGGAATGAAATGGGCTTTAAGGTCTCTTCCCACCCATGGTATAAACCCATAAACACGGTGTTTAATTCATCTGTTGCTGTGTCCACAATGGAACACAAGGATGGAAACAAGCTAGACAGACTCTCTTTATTTGTTTTTAGCCTGCAGGGAGATGACAGGGCCACAACTCTTGCATGCAGGGGCTGTGAGTTCATGGATGGAGTGTGGGGGATCCAGGCATTTCCTGCACCCTTCCAGGCCATGGAACTTGTCCTGCCTCCCTCAGCCCACCGTATCCCAGTGACTCCTGCTCCCTGTTCACACCATCCATGAGCTGGATGTGAGTGAGGGCAGGGTGGGCTGCAGAAGGGCTCTGGGGGCACTCTGCTCTCCCAGGCTGGACAAAGCTGGAGCTGGTGCTCCAGAGGCAGGACTGTGAGCTCATGGAATCGGCTTTACACACGCTGGAGAGGTAGGAGTGAGCATGGAGGGTTGTTCCCTGGTGAAGACTCAAGATTTTGCATGCGCAGACATCACATCAGTCACTTGCACGTGGAAGAAAAGGAGGTTTTTATGGCTCGTTTTAGGGCCAGGTAGGGAGGAGTGAGAGCTCGTGGTCCCTTTGCACACTGGCTGTGAGGGAAAGGGAGCTGGGTTGTTCCAGCTGCTCTCCCTGCCCTGGCTCTCCATGCAGAAAGGAGCCCGCAGCGGGAGGATCAGCATCTTTCCGGGCACGGCTGGGGAACACGCTCGGGAAACACATCGTTCGTTCCCTTCACAGCATCGTCTCCAGCTCTTTGGTGAGGTTGGGGTGGCACTGAGTCAGGTCCGTCAGATCCACCGTGTTCTCCCCCCGGGTTTTCTGGCTCATCTCCTGGGCGGGGCAGTGCGGGAGGTGATGGGAGGCGCAGGAGCCGGGGAGGTACCCCGGCAGGCTGGGGTGGGCCGGGAGCAGCAGCCCCCGCCGGGTCCCCCCTGGCCCCGCCCGGCCGGTGCCGCAGCCCCGGGGGCCGTGGGGGGCCGGCCCGGCACAGCAGCAGCTCCCGGCGCGACCCTTCTGCCCCAAATCCAGCGCCAGGAGCCTCCGAAGATGGGCTTTCTTGATCTCTGCCTGCACCTGGGGGAGAGGTGTGAGAGGGCTGCTGTGCCCAGACACAGCGGAACTGCCTTTCCCTTCTCCCTTCCTTTCCTTTCCCTTCCCCCTTCCCATTCCCTCCCCTCTTCTCCATACCCTTCCTTCCCTTTCTCCTTTCCCTTCTCTCCCTTCCCTTCCCTTACTTTCCCTTCCCTCTTTCCTCCATTCCCCTTTCCCCTCCCCTCTTCCCTTTCCATCCCTCTTCTCCCTTCCTTCTCCTTTCCCTTCCTCTTCTCCTTCCTCTTTTCCTTCCCCTTCCCCTCCCTTCCCTCCAAATCCCACTGAGAGGGGATGGATCCCGGTTTTTTGGTGATTATCCCATCCTGGGGCTGTGTGTTAATGTCCCCAGCCCTGAAGGGGCTGGAACAGGGAGCTCACTGCTCCCGCTCTCACTCACCTCCCCGTTGCAAAAGCAGTAGATAAAAGCCACAAAGAAGCCCTGCCAAGAGACCCAGAGAGGTGGAGTTTGAGGCCTGGGCCGGGATGTTCTCCCTGAGCCTCCCTGGAGGAGCCTCACTCGGTGCTTGGGACAGGCAACACACCTGAGAGGAGTTAAAGAGCATCTCATAATGCATCTGGATCTGCCACAGGACCCCGGAGACCTCGGTGTAGGGCATGGCCATGAACACCACGTAGTGGACTCCAAAAAGCGGCATCAGCACCAGCGTGGACTTGAGCAGCTTCCTGAGAGGAGCAAACCTGGAGCCGTCAGCTGGGACCCGCTGGACAGCCCGTGTCCAGCTCGGAGATGGGAGCAGGCAGAGCCTGAGCTCCTGAGCCCTCTTTGAATCCGGCTGAGCTGCCAGAGGCACCGGCTGCCATCGTCCTGCCACCCTCCCTCCCTCCTCCAGCCCTTCCCACACCTCTGCTCCTCATTCACAACCCTCTGGGAGCTGTTCAGGCTGGACAGGCAGGACAGGAGCCAGGCTGGACTGGGGAGGCTTTGCTGCTGCCAGCACTTGCCTGTACTGCTGCCGGGGGTCCAGCTTGCCCGTGGTGGTCTCCCAGAGCTTGGAGGCCAGAACCCGGACGATGTTGAGGAAGAGGAAGAAGTTCACCTGCCAACAGCCACCCTGTTGGGTGCTGCCCACAGTGACCTTGGGTGTGCCCGAGCAGCCCCCCATGACACAGACAGGCAGTTCTGGGTGAGGAGCAGGCAGGGACAGGGGGGTGATGCCGTGGCCAGGGCAGGGAGGGACCAGTGCCCCTGGATCCCTCTGGGTGCTGAGAACACAACCCCAGTGACCACAAGCAAAGGAGCTCTGGGTTGATAACCTTCCCCCAAAAGGGATTGGGAGATTCAACCACAGGATTCAAGCACTGGAAGGGGCTGCCCAGGGAGGTGGTGGATTCCCCAAACCTGGAGGTGTTTAGGGAATGACTGGACGTGGCATTCAGTGCTCTGGGCTGGGTGACAAGGTGGAGATCACTCAAAGGTTGGACTCAGAGGTCATAGAATCATATTTCTATGATTCTGTGATTCTTACCACGATGGCAGCCAAGATGGGGACCTGATAAATCCACTTCATGTTCCCTGCACTGAGGTCCCAGCACCTGAGAAGACCAGTAAAGAAACACCTTGGAGAAACGTGACATCCCTGGTCGGGAGAATTGCTGGCTGATGGCTCCCTTTTCCCCCAGCCAACACCCACCTCATTCCAAATTCCTGCTGAACACTCGGTGGCCTTTGTCCTTTTAAAATGCCTCACTCCAGAACATGCCCTTTAACATTTGTCTTTGCACTGATCAGTTTATGGTGCAAACCTGCATCCACCATCCCCCCAAATGCAGAGCAAAACACCATCACTCTGCATTACTGACAGTGTCAGGAACAAGCCTTGAACACGTGTTGCCTCCTCTTGTTCTCTTCTGGAAAATTTTCATTTCCAAAAGCTCTGGTGCCCACAGATACTTTGCTGGCACCAGCAACCCCCCTTTCCCTCCCCAGGGATCGCTGGAGAAGGTGGGTGTCACGTACTGTGTGTCTGCCAGCGAGGCCCTGACGCTGGCCCAGATGGACACAAACACGGCAGGGAGACCTGGAGGGGCAGAACCAGAGCGAGGAGCAGGGATGAAGCATCACGTTTGCAGATCAAACCAGCTCCTGCCTCCCACTGCCCTTCTCCGGGCGCTCACGGCCGATGCCACAGCTCCCAGCTGCTCTCGGGGAGCACGGCTGGGCTCGGGCTCTGTGCTCACCCCAGCCGATGATGATGAGCACCCACAGGTAGCTCCTGTTGGAGAGGAAGGCCATGAAGATCAGGCTGTGCAGGTAGAGACCTTCCACCAGGATCCAGTAGTGGTTGGTGGCCAGAAAATAGAGGAAGAGAGTCACCACCACCTTGCAGCCAACCTGTGAACACGGTCAGAGAGGTGCCCGTGTCAGGCTGGTCCCCAAAAGCAAAACCTGGTGG